AAACAAGGAGGGGAAATAGTTTTTAAGAAAATAAAGGAAGTGCTGGAGGGGAAATACATGCTTAGATAGAGATAATCCAGAGCACACATATAATTTTAGCAGGAATACCCATACTAGAGCTACACAGTTTCAGTATTCGCGGAACCTTCTTTGAGTCAATTCACTGCCAGCAATACCAACAGCAAGTTTATCTATTTCTTATCTGCCATAGGTCCCTAAAATGTTTTTGAGAAAACGCGACGAAATCCATCTTTCGCATAGCGTCAGCTAACCTCTACAGCTTTACGTGTCCGGGAAAGTCACCGGTGTTTCAAAGCAGCGGTCATATTTGACAATTCCTTCCGCATCCCGCCGGCACAACCGCCGTTTATGTAGTAAACGTGGTCGCACCGATTGACAGTGCGCTGGATAAGAAGCATTAAATCTGAACTACGTAGATTAGACCCTGCAATGGAATTGCTCAACTATGATTGCGAAATCAATTTTACGAGTTATTAACCTTCTCCATTAAATATGTAGTAAACTTGTGGGATGCTAGCGGAAACAATTTTTAATACTCAAAAAAAAAACCGCTATCCAATGATAAAACGAAATCAATGATATTTGAGAAGAAAAAAACATAGGAAAACACTTCTCAACTAAGATGCAAGCACGCTTCCCATATCAGACACTTTCATGGTATCTATCAGTAGCACTCAGGATATCTATTAAAAACTTTTGAGCATATTTTATAATGCTCGAGCAAAAAGACTACTTTTTTTTTGCTTCCAATAAAAACTTCAGACATTGTTTGCTAAGACTTTTTTCCCTTGAAAATAGGCGTCTTTCAAGACTTCGACGTACCTTACGAGCAGATATGCAAGACGCAATGTTATGGAAAGAAGGCTTTCGTGGGCCGAAGTTTGACCTCCTTTACCAACCCATATTCAAAATGTGCGATATAGTTGGTTTGAAAACCTTTGACGGTCTAGAAAGCAACAGATGTGAGTTTGATTCGCGTTAAATTGTACACTCTCCTAATGTCTTCGCTTACAGATGGATTTGCTTTCTCCCAAGATGATGGTCTCGCCGTTACGCAGATGGATTTACTCCAAGGGTGCTCTGAAGATACCGCCACAATTCAGACTGCCGGCATAGAGGAATCCAATGAGCAGGTGCTATTGATATAAAGGATCGTTTAAATTTGGCGCTGATGATATTCTTGTTCAGAGCTTTTTTGTTAAGCCGATTGAAAGATCTGTGGATGACAGAACGGTCGTCAGCTCAATCTCATTCAAATCGCCACCGCAATCTACAGATCTGACTAAAAGCGTAAAGACTGTGTAGAATAACACTTGTATATTAGCAGAAACTTCATAACATAATATATGATTACAAAAGTCAAGATAGTTTGCATTTGTGAAGTAGGATCTAACCAAATAAATTTTTGGATTTTACGAGGTAAATTCCTACGCTCTTAAGAAAAGCCTTTTTTTGCTGGAACTTGAATGCAAATATTTGGATTCCCGCTAAATCTGAGTACTAATACACCAACTCAAAAGCAGATAAAAGCCATCACGTTTCCATGTGCAATTAAATGTTTCAAAGCTAGGAGGTCGTGGGAACTGACTTCCGATCAAGCGGCTGTTGCGCAATCAGCCACTAAGGTCAAGAGAGTTAATTTCGTTCCCGACAAGGACGTCACTCTATCAGCTTTCGACAGTCGTCATCAGCGTTCAAAGAAAAATGAGGTAAAAAATGCAATGGAGAAAAGACGAATTCAATGATCGACAAGCCAAAACAATGTATAAATTGTATGTGAGAGAGAATGCTTCGGTTTTCGAGGTGTAATGATTCATTTAGATTTTCAAGCACTCAAAGAAGCTGCTCTAGCTAGGTATGCAGCTTCTTTGAGCGCTCAAAACTATCCGTTTGCTTTGTCCCAAGTCTGATTATGATCTCATAATGGAAAAATATTTATTTATGATAATGGCTTTGCTCCTTCAGCAAGTAGCACGAGCGCTAACTGACTGACTTCCA